ATATTCAATATAACTTAATAATTAAGAAAAAAATGCTGATTATTTGTTTTTACATTTATTTATTAATTTTTTATTATTAATAATACCCGCGGCAACATGAGCCATTACAGGCTTACAGTGCGAAAATTATAAATTACAGAAACTAYAGAAATTACAAAAATAGTATATATCATATATTATGTATATATAAGTTACATTACATTTTGGATATAAGATTGRTGGCTGTGAAGAATTGAATGATACTGGTAATGRATTGAGGTTGATTGCATAGAGYTTCTGATAGTGATTTGGGTAAGTTGTGGCTTCTTCAGGTACTGTCGTAGGTTCGGCATTCCGTGAGAATGTGGTTGATGGTGACTTGGGCACCRCAGGTTGTGCATATTGGGGGTTCTTCTTTGGACATTAGGAAACTGTGGGAGACTTTTGTCTGTCCAATTCTTAGTCTGGTTATTATTACTTCGAATTTCGAAGGGAAATGTCCAATTATTGGTGTTATGTTTTATGTGGTTTAATTTCGTGTAATAAGATTTTTTGACATTTCTTTGTTATGAACACTCGTATGGAGAAATGTTCTGAGTGATGTTGTTGATAGCAACAAGGAAAAGCATCACCGAAATTGTAGATCCTTGAGGAACTCCGTTCACCTGTAAGAAAGAYTTGGATAGAGTTTGATGAATTCTTACTTGGAATGTTTTTATTTTAAGAAAATTACTGATAAAATTGAACATCTTGTTTTGACTTAGTATTTTAGTTTTATATGAAGCCCATRTAAGACTGTGGCTATTAAAATCCCCGATAATAATGAAGGGTCGTGGTAAGTGCTTGATAATATTTTCTAATTCCGTAAGTGTAAAATTGAATTAATTTGGAATATAGATATGAAAGAGGGTAATTTTTCTTTCGAGTGTGATTGATATTGCTACAGCTTCTATGTTTGAATGGATAGGGATTTCTTTCCAAGCAAATGAGTTATTGATGAGTGYGCAAACACCACCATATTGGTAGTTATTTATATTAGGTGGAGATTCGTCAAATTTGAGGTAAGTCTCTTGAAGCCATATTGCTATAGGTTGGTGTAAGTTTATTATCAGTTTAATTTCTTCGATATTTTTATGGAGTCCATTGAGCTTCCATTGAAGTTTTATTGGTTATAAATGGTGATTTTTTGGATATTTGAATTCTTTATAATGAAGAGAGATTACATCTTCATAATGACTCGAGGAGTGAGTTGCATAGCCTCGTGAGTATGTTTTTAATTCTAAGGTTTTTATTTTCTGGTTTCGTGTCTAATATTTCWATTATTTTCATCGGATTTATGTTAAATTGGTTTAACAGATTGGAAGGATCATCCACACTGAAAATATTTTCAATAATGTACCTGAGTTGAGTGAAGTCTATTTTTCGGAAGGGAATTCCTTCAAAGGCAGTTTTGGCTGGGGCCTAATGTTTCGTCTAGTTTGGCTACTATTTGTTCTATGGAGTTGAAGCGTTTAATTTTTTTGTCAACGGGTTGAGATTTGGTTAGGTTTGCTTATTTTAGTGTTGTTAATTGGTGTAGAGTGTGTATTATGTGTTGTTTCTGCWTTTGCTTTTTTTCTGTTTGATTATAATTCTAATAGCTTTGTTGTGAGAATACTATTATTAGTTTGGTGGTTTTGATTTTCCTTTGGGRTTGTTGTTGTGTTAATACTTTAATAGGGCTCTCTGTAATGGATGCATTGTCGGTGTCGCTGGTGCTGGCATATGATGAGATTGGTTTTTTTATGTGGTCAACTGATTCCTGTGAGTGAGTAGGGTTGTTGGTTAATTGTTAATTATTATGTTCGATAATATGTTCTATGTTTGTACTGTCCTTATCCGTGGTATTTGGGTCATTTTGTGGATTAGTATTTATAACRATTTCTTCGGATTTCGGCGAAGAGGGGTTATTGCTATTAGTTAGAATCGTATTATCAAAATCTTTTTTGCAATGGTTTGAGGTATGGCCAGTTTGTTTRCAAATATAGCATAACATTGTGTGATTGTTTTGAAATAATATGGTCGACGATACTCTTACTGGCGAAATATATACATAATCTATGGTTTGATAAGCGTGAAGTGAATTTTATGTTATTATGTGAYGTAAGCTGGCTGAGTGCTTGATGTATTCGATTTGTGGGATGTAATTTAATGTATTAAAGATGATTGCTTGATCTTTTTTTCGGAAAGAATGGGTTCGCYGTTGTTTCTGCGAATGTTTTGTGTGTGATAGCCGCTAGGTTGTGTATTGGGTATTTGGGTGGCATGATTGAATTAGAGTTGTCTACGATGGAGTATTTAGGCGAGGGTAGTTGTTGTTACCTATTTGGTTGTAGGGGACTGTAGTATAACAACATAACTTCTTAATTGTAGTGTGTTGCATATTGCATCGTATGTGTTATTGCTATCGGAAGTTAAGAAATGCGATAAGCGAAGACCGAGAGGACACGTGTGTATCGGATGGAGGTTACACACGTACTGATAAATTATTTTTGTGATCATTTAATATTAAACATACGGAAAATGTATCTACAATATTTAYACACAAATATTTATTTTATGAATGACGACGATATTGAATAAGATGTAGATTAAAACATGGTATTGGTAATGTTTTACACTTAATGATATGTATTTTATTCGTGGTTAACTATTTTTGTATAAGAAAAAAAAATAAAAAGTATCACKTCATAGCATTAGAGATTGTTGTTGTTGATATAAACTAAATAGCGCAGGTTGTCTATAATATCGATTAAGCGCATTATAGCCTATTTATTTTATTAGCTTATATAATTTAAATTAGAAAAATGAAGTTTTTTTAATTTAATTTTTATGTTTATAAAAAATTGGGATCATGATTGATATTAATTTACCAGACATAATATACATTATTCTTTAAGTCTCTTAAAATTATCTTAAAGGTATAACTTAAAAATAACGATGCTAAATTCCGAAATGTATAGATAAGCAAACAAGTTATACATATAATAGGTAGGTAGGTACTACTAAATGTATTTAATACGAATTTTCTATTAAGTTGTAATTATTTATTCATTATTAACTATTTTTAAGATATAGGTATACCAAATAAATGCCATGAATTCTAAACTTCATAGGTAGCATATCAGCACCGATAATAATTATTTTGTACTATACTCATATCGAAATTAAAGAGTTATTTAAATAATTTCTACGAGTGAGGGAAAAAATAATTTGTAGGTATCTATAGTTAAGTTATTATACAAACACCAATAAAAATGAAAAGTTTATTTTACATTTATTTATCTCGATGAAAATTATAATAACAATAGGAAATAAGAATAGTATTAGGAAGGTAACACAATTATAATTGATTATAGCTTGTACTCATTTAACTCCTTCAATATTATATTATATTATTGAAGTAAAATAACGTAATATTAATAATATGTTGTGTATGGAAATCGTTTTAGAAAAACCACTATAACTTATAAATTATATAACATAATATTTTTATTGAATAAGCGATGATTTGTTAAGATCTTTGATTTTAAATACCATATAAAAAAGTAGGTACTTATGTAAAAAAAAAAATCGTATATATTATAATATGTTATGGAGGTTTATAATTATTGAGTATTTATGAGTATTTTCCAGCTGCCTATTTGTTGCAAGTAAAATATAGTTTATTCTAACACTTATGCGTGAGATAATCGTTATTACATATTACATTTTTTTTTAAGGATATCTGTATTTTAGAGTTCTCAATAYCTTAGTAAMATCCAGACATTATAATTATTTAYCTGCATGAGAAGCACCGGAACACTTGACGTGATGAAACATATAGTATAYAGAAATATAAACTTTTCCCAGATGGGTGTCATGTATTTCATTCAACATTTACTTATTTTAAAATAATTTTTAAACCTTGACCCGTGGAAAGAGATGATGTATAATAATAGTCTGAATTCGTGTTTACCCCATATTGCCCTGTGGTTAAAAATTCCTGACAGCTTACCTGTTAAATTACAGAGTAGTATACCGAGCAATGAGCACGTGTCAGAGCGTACTTTATTGTTATATAAATACAGGTTTGATTCATATTCATTTGTTTCATATCTACAACGTTTTCATATTTTTCAGTACCAATCGATCAAGTAGCAGTTCCGGTTGGTGGGAAAGCTTATCTGCCCTGTGACACACGAAATCAAGATCCGGGAAAGTCTACAGACTCTTCTGGATTTTTCATGGTCATGTGGTTCAAAGAACAAAAGGAAAATAACCTAAATGATCCGAACTATGAACCAGCCGCATCTTCATCCTCCTCAATTCTACCAACTTCCAGTGAACCAATATTCACGTAAGTATTTTCATTTTTAATATGGTACCTAAAAAGTATAAAATAAGCTATTATAATTTCTTTAATACTACTTAAGTATTAAAATAAAAATTAAGGATTTTATATATATGTATTTATATTTTATTTACCTAACCTTATAATACTAAAATTAAAAAAAGTCCCATAGTAATAGATACACAACTAGGTATGTTGTTAAATAGATATGTAAGGAATAAAGTGAGAAAGTAGAGTCGGTTAATACTTTTGATATATACAGTTTCATTAAATAACACATGTTAGAGGCGTGTTGTCTATTTAAATTTGAAACCAATGATTAATTGCCGTATTCAAAAACGATTATAAGCAAAGATTATTTACTGTTAAACAAACTATAATATATTAATATATAATATATTAAAAATACTAATAAAATTGATCCACACATTTTTAGGTTTTCCAAAAAAACTTATATTATTACTTATTTATAATATTAAATGTTGCGCCAAGGTTTTAAAATTAAGTTATAAATTGTTTAGATTTTGTTTCAAATAGTTTTCGAGACTTAATGTACAAAAAAATGAGATACAGATACCTGGAGTATAAAGTATCATATATATATATATATATATATATATATACATAACGAAAAATATTAAGTCAATCTTAAGAAGTCGAGTATAAGGATCTTAAAACTCTTAATATTTTAAATTTATAAATAATAAAGTTAACACTACTAATATTTTGATTGCATTAAGTTAAGGAATTATTTTGGTTAATATCGTTTGCTGAGATAGAAGCAAAAGATTATGCTATTATATTCAATTTGAAAACTTTTAAAATCACATTAAAATAGGTAATCAACAGTTTAGGGCATATTTATATTCAACGGTATTTTTTATTGAAATTAAAATAAAAATCGTATAAAAACATAATGTATACGTTAATATTTTTKTTTAAATTCTGAACGTTCTATAACTAATAAATTAAAATTTATAAAAATGTACTAATTTTATTTTTCAATATAGACACGGAGTTAACATACCATAGTTTTCTTAAGTACAAAAAAACCAACATAAACGTTGTGTTCCAATAGTATATCATACTCATTACTCATAATAGAAAAGAAATTTAACAATCATCCTATTTTATTTTTAAAGTATAACTTTATTTTAAATGTATGTKCAAACCATCTAAACAAATTTATGGTATTTGACCGATAATCGTATTCAAATCTCAAATAAGAATTAAATCGCGATAGCTATTATCTGGTTTTAAAATATTATGATGTGTATTATAGTAAGGTAATTTATTTTKATTACCTATTAACACTTTMAATTACTATTTAAATTATTTGGTGGATAGCTATGCATGGACACGAAACTTAAGGAGCGTCATGACTGATGACTCCAGATGGCAACTGGCATGCTTGCTCCTTCGTAGAATGTCCTACATAATTTCTGCAGCTAAAACGGATTTATTATTATAATAATTGTTCACACATTTTTTAATTAAGAATGTGTACAATCATAAAATATTTCTAAAAAACTCATTAACTATTATCTATATTAGATCTATAATATTGTAATAGCCTAAAATTGCATGGATTGGAATTTTCCAGATAATATTTTAGATGTTCATATTTTAARCATCAAATAAATTAAATACGTACTATATAACAACATGAAATTCAAAATTTGGTTGATAATGTATTCAAGGAAAGAATTGTTAAGATAAAACGGTGACGTTCCCATTTATTCAAAATACAGAAATATTAGTTAATTTTTGATTTAAACCTATTTAGTTGACAAAAAAAAAAAAAATAATAAATATAATTCAATTTATTTAGGCCTCCTATAGTACCGTATCTGAATAAACATTGAATACCTATAACAAGTAATCAAATCGAAGTGTCACTAATGAGTGGCTTTATTAAATAATATTTTTTCCACATCAAATATGTAATTCATCAAACATTCTCACCATGCTACATTTTTTTATGTAAATAGTTTATCTCAATATATAAGTTTAAAGTATATATATATACATTTAAATAAATGCTTACCATAATTAGGCATTATAATTAAGTTAATTTTCTTTTAAATCTTGAACTTTGAAATAATTTGCAAATTTTGAACTTAAAATGGTTAAAACATAAGTGTGATTGGCGTAAATTCGATATTTTTTTGTAAGAAAAACTCTTATGAGGAAAGTAKTATAATTTATTCAAGCTCTTTGATTTAGATACAAACAAAAAAATTATCATACATCAATCGAAAACAAAATATAGATAKTTAAATGTTTCACATGTCTATAAATATCCAAACAACCAAAATCTTTTTAAAACTACAAGATGTCCAGACAATTTTGATGTAAATTTTTGRTGAAATATCAACTATCTATTGTTATATTTTGTTTTAAATTTCTWCTAAACGAAGTATAGTACTGCGTAAATATTACGATTTTTGACTGACTTTATTTTGGATTTTCTTTAATACAACACATTTTTTTAGCCCCAAAAAATACTAATATGATCTAATTTAATATCAAAAACCACCATCATGGTTGAAGGTTCAAACATTTTATTGCTCTTAAAATTAATATCAGACACAAATAAAAAATATCATTGCTCAGAATATAAAATAATACATAAAATATTAGAATTTGTGAAAAAAAGTCATGTTAGAAATTATTAAAAAAAATATATTGTAAGTGGAATCAAATAAAAAATTATCTAAATATTTAAACAATGATATACACCATCATCAAAAATATCAAAATATGAAAAACGTCTTATTTTATTTATTTGTTWAAATTAAGTAGAAAGCTATGTCTTATAATAATTGTAYACAGTGCAATTTTCTAATAATTTGCAACCCTCATTTTTCGTTAATAATTATTGTAAACAGTAAAATARCRTCGAAAATATTTAGGTATAACTATTAAAGTTTMACATTGAGTTTATTATAATTAAAATGCCAAATGAAATTGAATAATATAGATACCTAAGTTACACAATTAATTTATTATACCAACATACATTGAATTAAATATATGAAATGCGTATTATRTATAATTCTCGTATAATTTAAAATGTGCGACAAAACATACAACCACCCATATGCATTCCGATTTGATTTTTAACATTACTATTATGACGATGGTAAAAATTTTCAATGATAACATAACATTTCATTATGTTTTCCAACGATTAGGAATGCATAACACCATAATATAATATTATGTTGTCTTCTTATCAGGTCCATATATACATATTTTGATTAATACAATTGTTCTTTGTAATTARTTCAGTGCCAACATATTTATATTTGCGCATAACTATTGAAATTTCTTTGTCATTTTTACTATCTGTTACCCCTGTTATGACTGTCACAGTTTCTCGAACAGTTAGCTCTTTGTCTAACATAATCTCGTCACTCTTTAAAAATGTCTCACATATTTTTAAACAATCYCCTCCATACCATCCTTTAATCATTCCAGGTTTAGTTCCTRGCTTATACAGTTTATTAATTTTTTTCAACAACTAAACATATAATATTTGACGGATCTGTTTCCCAAATTTGTGTTTTATTCTTATATTCTCATGTTCAATTATTTTTATATTTTATATCCTATATTTATTAAGTCAACAACTGCAGGTATAAGACAAACTGGCAGACAATAGTCAACGGGATCATACGCTATCTGTACATCTGTATATTGCTATATATCTGTACAGTCATTTTATATCTTATCTTGAAATTACCAGATCAACTGACGAACTAGTTTATACAATGTATGAGTTACAAATTATAACAAACAACTCTTATATTTATTTAAAACACAATTATCTAGTGTAAATCGTGCAATTACCCAATGCCAAAATACTCATGCATAATAGTAATTTTACACAATGTGGATAAAATGAATTTCATCCACTTCATGGTTAAAAAATTGTCCATATGGTGTAGTAAAAAGTCATTTTCACTAAATGGATGCGACATATATATTATATATATATATATATATGTATATATATTATACCACTTAAATGAATACCTTATTGAAACTCAAAGTTTCTATTAGAATTATGTTATTTATTGTTCTGAAATTAAATAAATAATTCAGAATATTGTCTGTTTAAATAATTTCATTATATATGATTTCTGTTATTGAACAATTTTCACAACGACTAACTACGGAGAATTCATAAGTATAAATTAAAACATGCCTATGATTACGAACTATATCCAATTTTTAGTAAATAGGTACCTACCCTAAAGCCACGTGGCCATTGTAACTTTTAACTACCTATGAGAACATGAATCATTATACYTCTATAAGAGAACAAATAAACATAATATATACTACCTATATAGTACAGTACAAAAACAAAAGTGTACTTTTTGTATTATTAAAAATAATATTATTCTAAAATGAAAATGTTGTACTTCATACTTAAATTAAATTGATTATGTGAAATGCAAACGTGCAGTTAAAAATAAGAAAATATTATAAATTAATTAATGAAAATCAATACGCAATGTATCCATAAAATATTTAAAAAAAATTATATTATACGCGATATCGCTTCTTCGTGTGTACAAAAACATAATTAGCAAAATGATATATCTTTAATTTTTTTTTTGATTCAGTATTTTATACCTGCCCTGTTATTCCTTTAGGCACTTTTTTTCTTACACGGACTTACTTAATAATTATCTTTTTTGTAATTTACACTAATTAATCGTAAAATACGTTATCTTCCCCTATATTTACGCTTTTGCTATTCTATCCATTATTGAATTATCCCAGTTTTCTCTTTGTATACCTAGTACCTACCTACAGACTTGTATTCYAATCAAACAATGTATAATTATTATCAATCAAGATAAATATTTACTTTTTTAATTAATTAATTCTAAATCGAATCGCAGTGTATCGTATTACACTTATCAACATATACTATATATATAGCCCATAGGTACTTTTATTTTTCAATTATTTGTATTTAACATATAGAC